TTAAAACTCAAAAGTCTTGGCAACCTTCCAAGGTTGCACTGTCTATAGTGTGTTAACACACAGCTCACAGTACTACCAGCACAGACAGCTTTAGTAAAAATGCCTCTTTACTTACAGCTGTTGAATTCCAGCAGCCTCTTGCATCTCCCAGCAGCACAGTGAGGAGCAATCTGGAGCCATAACCCTTGTTGAATTTATGGTGAGAGTGTGCAGTGTGTGTAAAGGACTGCTATTCATCAGCTCCATACATCCCTGAAGCTTGCAGCAGTCCATGAAACCAGACCAAAGAACAGATTCACTTCAAAAGAAGGTTCTTTATTCTTCAGTTGCAGAATTAACATGATAGCTATTTACATTGTAGAACATCCACTAGCAGTCAGAGAACAAAGGAAGCTCCATGCCAAGCCCAGCAAGCCATAACTCCACCCCCAGGTTGATACCTTTATAGACATTTGCTAAACAGCTTTAAACCCAGCCTTCTTCCTGTGTCTTGTGTCATGTGACCAGTGGTTCTCACATACTCTGATGACCTAATCTGTTTTCTTCTTGTATCCTGTGTTCCCAGACACACACTGACCTTGTTTATGTTGTTTTTGTTAATCCACCTGCAGGCTAAAACTTTCACAGCTAGAACTTTCCCACATCTGTACATTTCCACTTTGACTACAAATCCTAACAGGACCAACTGTATTGAATGTTGTGTATGCCAATACTGTGAGTCCTTGGTATCCACTAGGGTTTGGTTCCCACCCTCCCTGTGGATACCAAAATCTGTGGATGCTCAAGTTCCATTAAATGTAATGGCATAGTAAAATGGTGTCCCTGATACAGAATAGTGAAATCTAGGTTTGCTTTTTGGAATTTTTAAATTTTTTTAGAATATTTCCAAGCTGTGAATGATTGAATCCATTGATAAAGAATCTGTGGATATAAAGTGTTGACTGTAAGAGATACCTGCAAATTCTGTCCCCATTTTTAAAAGCCAATTTCCCCTTATATTTTGCAGTGCTGGTTTACCTTTTCCTGATTTGGAGCATGAATAATGTACCTGCTTTCCACCATTCTTCCCATTTGATTGTCTAGAATTTATAGAGATGGTTACTGCTGCAGTTTTTTTTTATTCCTTTAGTTCACAGCATGCTTTCACTATTTAGACAAGCCATGCTCTCTCACAGTGCCACACAGTGAAACAAAGCACAAGCTTTCTAGGCTGTGATTTTGCACAAAGTCACAGTGTCAACATGCCTTTTAGTGAATGACTCGCTAGCCCACATGTTGGTGTGGATCCAAGAGTGCTTTGTGTGCATTAACACTCTGACTTTTCAATTCACTAAAAGGAATGTTTCATTTGAAATTTCATTAACTGAAAGGAAGGTTTCCTTTAGTTTTATTAGCCAATTGAAATATTTGATCTGAAAATGCATTTAAAGCCACAGCAATGATAAATGTGCAAATCCTTCCACTCTCCCTGCCTCCTCTTTTTAAAAAAATATTAAAATCAGTAGCTTTAGTAGCATCAGCAAACATGATTGTAGTCACTATCATCTGAGCATCAACAATAGACAGCCTGTCCCAAAGTAGGAAAGAGATCATGGTCAGTTTAATATCAAGTAGAGGTCAATGAAAAAAAAAAAGTTGTAATATTGTAGTTATGCATATGAACTCACACTTAAATTGCTGAACTTTAGGTGCTTGAACACACACACACAAACCAGACTATTAGGAAGAAAGCACATGATCATCCGGGCTGCCCAGAAGAAGATGTTAAATGTGTATTGTCTCCTGTAAAGCTAGGGACTCGGATATAGGCATGGACATCCATGCACAAATCCGCAGGATCTTGTCCACACATTCTATTTACCATGGTCATTTCTTCATTTACACATCACAGTGATACCTTTATTAGGCCAACCACAAGACACAAAATACTTTATGCAAGTGTTCAAATCTCTCTGGCTCAGTCATCAAATACATTTTTAAAAATATAGAAGAAGAAATGTAACAGTGTTGAGGTCATAGGCCTGCTTCATCTGAGGGTACATCTGCACTGTAGAAATAATGCAGTTTTACCTCACTTTAAGTGCTGCAACTCCATCTTATGATATCCTGAGATTTGTAGTTTTACAAGTTCTCTAGCCTTCTCTGCCAAAGTATACTGATGCCTCACAAAACTACATCCCAAATTCTGTAGGGTGGAGCAATGGCAAGGAAAGTGGTGTCAAACTGCATTATTTCTACAATGTAGATGCATTCTTTGAGATGTTTGCTTAAGATGGTGTTTAAAGTAGTCTTGAGAGAGGGTTAATGCAGAAAGAGGACACACGGCAATAAAAGAAAGGCAGTGAATCTTGTTTTCCCCATTAGCAAAGTAACTTCTTTTAAGCCATACGAGAAACAGGAAGAAAAACTCAAGAACTTTTCCAAAATATTGTGTTCCCTGGAGCTAATTCATTACTGCAATCTTGTAGAACAATGTCTACTTAGAAGTAAGTTCTATTGAGATCAGTGGATCATAAGACTTAGGATTGCAGCCTCAAATAGTATGAAAGACAGAAAACATCTTGTTTGCTATTGACTTTCATTGATGAGTGGGATTGGATCCTACAGATGGAAGTTAGAAAATAATAGGGTATCAAACTCAGAAATTATGTTTACACTTGAACTGGCCCATTAAATCTCCCTGCCCCCCCCCCCAGCATCTATTATTATTGACTTGTAGAACATAGTGACAGTATGATTATTATACTTATATTTATTCTTTAGAGAAAAACCTGCTGTTTCATGTACATAATTTGGGGATGCTTAACATCTGCTGCTAAGAGTTAGCATCACCTGCAGATATCTCCCCCTCCCCCCTCTTTTTAACTAATACTTCTCCAGATGGTGATAAATGTAACTTTGTACATAGTAATAAAAACCAAGGATTCCATCTCAAGACTGTGGAAGAATAATACAAGTGCCAAGGTCTTCTCTCCTCTGATGGCAGATTAATACTTTCATAAATTGCTACACTGTCTTGAAATGGGTTGGCAACAATGGACTTTTCTGCAAGTATGAAACTGGCCTAGTCAATGCTTTTCTATAAAAGGCAACTTTGGTACTCAAGTCTATTTTGGGGTGGGGAACATATGGACCACTAAATATTGTTGGACAAACTCCAGATATCCCTCATCATTAACTACGGTATATTGGCTAGGGATGATGGGAGGGCCAGTCAAACAACATTTGTAGAACCATACATCTCCACGTATTTATGCTGTCTCTTCTTCATTGGTATCAACCACACTTTCTTTCTTCCTATCTTAGTCTGCAATTAGTTTGTGTTTGTCTTCTGTTTTGTAGTCTATATAGTTGGCCTTCTGTTTTTTGCAGGGGATCCATTTTGGACCACCCCCTCCCCCCAAAAAACAGAGATTCACAAATATTCAAGCCCCATAGGCTTTAATGGGATGCGCCCCATTGATTTAAACAGAGGTCACCCCCCCGTGAATATGCAAAACTGCGGACTTGAAGTCCATGAGAACTGTAGTCAGACCCTGTCACTGTGAGATGTTATGAAATCTTTAGTACATCTACCTACCTTGTATGTTATCACCTAAGAAGTCTGAGCCTGCTTTACTTCTCTGCTAGACCCTGTGTGCAGTGTGGGTGGTATGGGACAGATCATTTCTGCCTTCTGCTTCCAAATGCTAATTACTCTGATTATGGGCCAATGCAGATGGCCCATAAGGGGCTGCTCTGTGCTGCCCCTGGGAGCAGTGGATCGGGGCCGTGGCAACCACACGCCTCTGCCCCAATCCTCCTTTTTGCTGACCCTAAAGAGCGGGCAAATGCTGCCCCTTTTTGAGGTGACAAAAAGCCAGCATCACCACCTGCATCCCCTCTTCCTCTTCCTTAGAGCCGCCGGCACAACTCTTTTGTGCCTCTTTGGCACAGTGTGTCTGCACGCTGTGCCAATGGGGCACCCTGACACTGCAGGCTGTGCAGTCAAGAGTGCATGTCAGAACAGAGTCTGGGCAGCCAGCGTGCATTCTCTCCACCTCAACTCCACCACCAGGCCAGCTTAAAGTGCCGGTCTGCATTCCCCACTAAGAGTGCATCTACATTGCAGAAATAATACAGTTTGACACTTTAACTGCCATGGCTCCATCCTACAGAATCCTGGAATTGGAGATTTTTGAGGCACCAGTACTCTTTGGCTTGTTGTAGTTGTTGCATACTTGTCATGGTCAGTCAGGAGCTGGACTAGGAGGATGAGCCTACTCCAGTGCAGGAGGAAAGGGAGGCTCTATCAGGTCCTAATCCTGCCCTGCTAGATCCCAGCCCTGTCCTCCCAGCCCCAGAGGAGGAAGAACAGCCAGGTCCTAGCACTAGTAGGATTCCTATGGAGGCACAGAAGCCTAGTGGTAAGGATCAGGAAGAAACAAGTGTGAAAGTACCTTCCTTCAGACAATGCAGGGCAGAGAGTGCTTGCATGCGTCGGTTAAGGAGGCTTGCAGAGAGGCAATTGACTAACAGGCCTCAGCTGGCACAGAGGAGGGAATCTCCTACTTAATCACCTGGGAGAGGACCACTCAGTGCTAGAGCTTATTGAAGTTTCCTTGTGTGATACTGTCAGCACTGGCTCCTTGCTCGCCATGAATCTTTGACTTCGGAATGGACTGGATGCTTGTTACTTTCTGGCTGCCCCGACCTTGGACTGAACTCACTCTTGTGTACTCTGGAATCCTGACCCTGGCTTTGGAACTGGTGTACTTCTTGGGAACTAACAGAAAGGTCTGTAGCCTGTCTCTTAGCTTCTTTCTTGCTAAACCATTCTTATCAGTGTTTGTTTGGACTGGTGCTGGCCGTAGTCCAGGACAATACCTTTAAGTTGTTTCCAAGTTATGGATACCCTACCATGGGTTTTCTTGGCAAGATTTGTTCAGAGGAGGTTTGCTATTGCCTTCCCCTGAGGCTGAGACCATGCAAATTGTTCAAAGTCACCCAGTGCATTTCCATGGCTGAACTGGGAATTGAACCCTCATCTTCAGAATCATAGTCCAACATCCAAACCACTACACCATGGCTACCACCCTTGTATAACTGCAAATACCAGGATTTCATAGGGTGGAGCTACAGCATATAAAGTGGGGCATTGTTTCTACAGTCTAGATGCACCATATGAGATACATTATTGTCTCTTATATCCCTCAATACCTACTTATGTATATTTTTATGTATATCACTGCACTAACATTGCACTAATTTCCCCTTTCTCTGTCTCACTGGTCTTTCTCTTCCTCTGCCCCAGTACTCCTACACCTTGTACTATGGGCCTTTACAGACTGCCAGAAATGATGCAGCTTGAAGCCATTTTAACTTTCCTGGCTCAGTGCTAGGGAATCATGGGAACTGCATTTTTATCTGGGACATTGAGCCTTCTCTGTCAGAGAGCTCTGGAGCCACAATAAACTACAGTTCCCGTTATTCCTTGGCACTGAGCCAGGACAGTAAGTGGCCTCAAGCTGTATTATTTCTGGCAATGTGTAAAGGTCCTACATTTACTTGGATTATTAAACCATTAGACCTCATCCCTCCAAATTTCCAAACAGATTTGCTGTAGGATCTAGTTTGCTAAATCAAGATGGACCATACGGTTATTAGGTTTTTGGGGACTATGTGCAGACTTGATGTTTTGCAATGCTTAGATAGTCAATGCTGTTTCAGGTGCATGGAGGAAATTTAATTTAATGGATGGAAATTTTCAGAATTCCAGATGTCATGTGAAACCAAGGTTTCATTTCATAGTAGCTCTATCATAAACCTTCTTGAGCTAAACAATGAAAACGTACCTACAAAACTTCAATCAACCATAATGCAGCTTAATTTACAAGGACATTGATTTGACTGGCAAGTTGAAATCAATGAGGGCACTAGGTTCATTCACTCTCTAATGATTAATCGACAACCATTTATACTATTACATATAAAATGAGATCTAATGTTTTGGAAGGAATTCATGATGCAAAATTATATCACAACAAGGAGAGGATGATCTGCAGGTATAAATGAAAATACAATTAAGAGGCAATTAAGATAGACAACCAATAGCTCCATAAATTATAGTGAGATTGAAATCTGGTGTTTGTTTTTTTAAAACTCCACAATAGAATCAAATGTTCATTACACATGTCAGTGAGACAGAAATCTGATCTACCTTTTCAGATTAGAAAGCAGTCATTAGACAAGGAAACGTTGCTTATATTTTTATTAGTCTACATTTACCCTTCCATTCCTCTAATAAGCTTAGAGCAGTGTGCATGGCCCTCCCACATTTGAGTCTCACAACATCCATAGGTGATTGCTGGGGGATTTATTTATTTATTGATTTATACATACATACATATATACATACAACTTACAGAGTGAGTATCTGTGTTAACTACTGCAACAAAAACATCTTAAAGACTAACCAATTTATGATAGAATAAGCTGTCTTTTCAAAGCAGGAAGTAAACTAGAAAAGCTATTCTTTATTTTTCATTTTAGCCCTAGTGGTACAGTGGTTAAATGCTGGTGCTGCAGCCATAATGTTGTAAATTCAATACTAGAGGAGGACTCCAAGGTCCACTCAGCCTTCCATCATTTTGTAGGTCAGTAAAATGAGTACCCAGCTTGTTGGGGGCAATTGGCTTATACACTGTAAACCACTTAGGGAATGTTAGTTCACTGATAAGTGGTATAGAAATGAACTTGCCTTTGCTATTGCTGTTTACTTATATCCTGTATTTCCTCTAATATAGGGACTCAAGTCTAGATGTGACTTTTTGTGGTGAAAAGAAGTCCCATGGGTCCAAAACAGCCCATGGGGAGCCAAAAAATAGGGCAAATCTTTTCCTCATACCCACTAAATTATGTAGAGTACATTATGAGTAAAAAACAAAACAATTAATGCGGTTTGGAAGGTTAAGACCCAGACAACATTTAATTTGGGGGGATCTATTTTTGTTCTTATTTTATCTCTTTTTTATTTCAAATTTATCCCTCCTCCCCACCTTGAAGTTTATGTGAAGTAGTGAAGTGTTTAGTCAGGTGTTCAGCCTATTGTATAAGCATTTAAATCTTGAGTTGTAATTGAGGTTGCATTATCTGGAAATGTCATTTGAGATAACCTTTTTTTCTGATGTTACTGCAATGTGGTTTTTAGTATGGTTTTTACCATGGAAAAGTAGTATATAAATAAATGTGATGCTGATAATGCCAGTGCAGTGTTCTATATGACATAACCATAGATGTCTCAAGCAAATTTATAAATTTTATGGAATCCCTATTCTTGGGGAAACTACATCTCTTGAATCTCTGCATTGTCAAAACTATTAAAGGCACAGCTGCACTCTAAGGAGAAAAGGTAGGAATGATAAAGGTAAAGGTGAGAAAGGCCCTGGGATGCTCAACAAACCTTGCACTGCTACCTTATCTGCAAAGAATCTATGAAACCTGACTCCTCTGTCTATAAAGCAACCCTGAAAGATCTGCTTCTGAGTAGACAATGATCAGGATGCATATGTGTTCACTGTTCAATCCTTCCATCATCCACTACATGATTTGCATAATGAGCATATAATTTGCATAGTATGCAACAATGGCTGATTGGATGTGATGAGCAGCCTTGAGAGTACCTCTTGGTGATTGGTAAGGTTTGTGGTAGTATAGTGTTAGGGAATGGAAATAAGCTGAATGACTGCAGTGGAAGAGAAGTACGTGGGGAGAGAAGAGAAGTGAAACAGCAGGAGGATGAGAGAGGGTTTATATCACAGGCAAAGTTGGAACAGGCCAAATGAGTACTACCCAGTGATATGTTCAAGTCTTTTACACGCGGTCTCAAGTCAAGTCTCAAGTCTCTACCTTCATGTTGAGTCTCAAGTTGAGTCCTTGCAAGATAGGGCCTTTACAGACTGCCAGAAACAGTGCAAATTGAGGCCACTTTAACTGCCCTGACTCAGTGCTGGGAATTATGGGAACTGTAGTTTATTGTGGCACCAGAGCTCTCTGACAGAGAGGGCTCAATGTCTCACAAAAAAACTACAATTCCCATGATTCCCTAGCACTGAGCCAGGGTAGTTAAATCAATTTGCACTATTTCTAGCAGTCTACAAGGTCTAATACTCTCAGGTCAATTTTCACATCTGGGAGCCAATTTTAACAGAAAACCTGAAGGTGGTATGTGGGAGTGGATGGAGTTTCAATAACTAGAAAATAATGATATACATAAAATTAGGTAAAAAAAATAAATTATCATAGGCAATTTATCAAAATTTAGACAAATGAGGTCTACACAGTAGAGTGTAATATTCCACTTGGTCATGGAAACCCACTGGGTGACTTTGCGCAAATTTCCAATGTATGGCGACCCTAAGGCAAACCTATCACTTTTTTGATAAGATTTGTACAGAGAGGATTTGCCTTTGCCTTCCTCTGAGGCTGAAAGAGTGTAGCCCACCCAAGGTCATCTAGTAGATTTCCATGGCTGAGTGAGGTTTCAAACCTTAGTCTCCAGAGCCATAGTCCAATGCTCAAACCACTACACCACACTGACTCACTTTTACATAAACCCCTAGCATTAAGTCAATTTGAAGAAAGAAATGTCAAGCTGAAAAAAAAAACTTTCTTTCTTCTTCTGTGTGGGTGAGGCAGATTACAGCTTTCACTCTGACACCCGGACTTTCTCAGAATGCACCACAAGATCTTAAAATGTTATTCTCTTTTCTGCTGACAGGTTGTTTTTCCACATCATTTGTTTCTTGAAACAACCCTCTTTTAAAAAGAGGAGGAATGATGTCTGTTTTCAAATGGAAAAATGACAATTCCCAAGAAACTTGTTCATCCATATCAATAGAAAGGCTGTCATTTTTTGAAATAACATTCTTCTCCTTTGTGTCAGGTAAGATCAGCTGTGGGATCTAGGGAAAATGAAGAAAACAAATGACAAATAATGACAGATAAATGTCATCAGTTTCAATAGAAACATAAGGAAATGTCCCCAACATCTCCAGGAGAAAGCTTCAAATTTATAACCTGAGCATGATGATGATGATGATGATGATTGATTGATTGATAATCAATCATGATGAACCATGAATATAGTAATTTTAAACACTTCTGCCAAAGGTAACAATCAGCCCTCTATATCCACAGATTCTGCATCCATGGATTCAACCATTCACTGCTTGAAAATATTTTGTAAAAATAATAATAAAAAAGCAAACTTTGGTTTTGCCATTTTATATAAGGAACATCATCATACTATGTCACTGTATATAATAGGACTTGATCATCCACAGATTTATTCATGGGGGGTCTCCAGTACATACCAAGGACCCACTGAACTGAATCAAGCAACCTATACTCCATGGTTATCCTGTGTTAACTTCTAATCCTCTGTTATCAATACCTATTAACCAGGCTCTCCAAAGTCCCAAATAGGATTTTTTTTACTGTTCCTAGAAGTATCAGGGCTTGACCCTAGGCCCTTCTCCATGCAAAGTAAGTGCTCACTACTGAGCTATGGCCCTTCCCCATCTGCTAGCACCATGTTTGTGCAATATATTCATAGCATTTAAATAAGACCAGGACTTCCTCATCTTGGTTTTACACATGTGCAGAGTGTTTCAGTTTGATGTGGTTTCTATTGTTCCTGTAGCTGTTATTACCAGAGCTTGCTAGTCAGTCTGTATGAATGACTTTCTTCAGGAAGCTGGAGGTTGTCCCAGAAAAAAATTGAGCCACCTTTCCTCGATATTCATTCTTCCCATTCTATGCTCTATAGCTCTAGTTTTCAACTTATGATCTACTAAAGGTTATAGGCTTCAGCTCCCAGGAGCCCAGATAGCACGGCCAGTAACCAAGGATACTAAGAACTGAAATTCAAAATATCTGGAGAGCCAAAAGATTGAAAGCTAATGCTCTACAGCAGTAGCTCCCAAACTTTGGTCCTCCATTAGTTTTGGACTTCATATTCCAGAAGCCTCAGTTAACTTGACCAATGGTCAGGATTATGTGAGTTGAAGTCCAAAATATCTGGAGGACCAAAGTTAGGGCACCACTATTCTCCAGAGAGGAACTGAGGGCTGCTGGATGTGTCAGGCTTAGACTAATGAACAATATTCAGATCAGTTGCCTATATCAGATCTAATTGCCCAGCTATTCTTGGAGTTTATTCAATTACTGAGACTGTCAGGTCCCTAGAGCACATATATCTCTGTGTGCATGGGTGTGAAGAATTTTACATTGACAGCACTGCATAAATACATCAATAACAATCATTCCATAGGGTGGCAGCAATAAATAGAATTGATTTTCATTATACTAATAAATGATGAATTCTATGTTCAAAACAAGTAAGCCCTTTTATGATTCCAGGTGGGAAATTGACTGATAACCACATCTTAATGATTCTCAAACTGTGCTGTAGTCAAGGACTCAGCATCTGGAGGCCAGCTGCCAGTGAAATGTGGCACCTAAGGTAATATGAAGTTATGAGCCACATCATATCTTTCATCCATCACACAAAAGGTCCTATAATATATTAATCTCAGATCTACTTAACTGAAAAAGAGAGGCTGGTAGACACAAAAACCCTGGTGTGGGAGTGTCCTTTAAAGAACATTGGCTTCCTGAAAATATGATTTTTGTCCCCCAGTCTGTAGTTTGGATGAGGGAAAAGCGTGCACACACACAGTACAATAGTGCAAAGAGGAAAACAAGAAAAGAAAAATAAAAGGAAAAGGGAGAGTGCAAAAAATGGATAGAGGTGTATAAGATGATACATATTTTTGTGGATTTCCTCTGAACTAGGGATATAAATCATTGTACATTTCATTTTCACAGGAAAGAATTAATAGTTTTACATTTTTTTTCTCAATAAAAGTGCTCAAAAACTACCCATATTTTAAAAGACTTTTCCCAATTGTGGACTTATTTGACACAAAAATGTGCAGGGTTTTTTGTTTTGTTTTTGCACAGAAAATAGCATTTTCTGCAGAAAATAATGGTTCTGTGCAGAAAATGGCATTTTCTGCAGTAAAAAAACTCATATGATTTTTTCACACAGAATAAGTCTCAAAGTGAAGATTCACTTGTTCAAAAGCTTTCTAAACAGCATTTTCTGATTCACTTGAAAATCATTTTTCATCTCTCATTTGGGTAATTTCCAATATTCTTTCCATCCTTGTTCTTAAATAAAAATCTGAATGATAAACTTCTGAATATAATACATTAGTCATGACAGTTCTGCGCAGCAGCTAATATTTTTATTATTTCACAAAATTGTGGCCATTCTACACATGAGAAATTGAGAGTAAGAGGAAGTGACAGAATAAGAATCACACAAGAGAAGGAAAGGCAATTGCTTCATGGCCCTTTTGTATAGTGCTTTCAAGTGTTTCATATATATTATCTAGGAACAGATTAGTAATCTAGTTACAATCTTGTAAAGTAAATCACTATTATCATTAAATTGCAGGTATCCTTTAAATTGAAGGATGTATGTAGATCAAAACAAGACCACTTAATGTGATCACATCACATGTGAGATGCAAACCACAGATTTACAGCACCAACTCTTAGCCACTATAGTACACAATCTTTAGCCCTTTGTTTCTTACAGCAATTCTTTCTAGGGAATGCAGAGCATGCCCATATCTCTGAACTAATTAACATTTCAACTACCCAGTGAAGAAACAGGGGCAGTAATGAACTCTATGAGGCTTGAAGGGAGTAAAACACATTACTGAAATTAAAAACCTCAACTTTCAGGTTAGCAGTAAGTCTATTCTTAGGCCCTAGTGTCACTGATATTTCCTTTTGCTTTTATAATTGTAAACATTTGTGTTCCATAGAAGAAGTATGTATTATTTCGTTAAGAAATAATTAATGGTGTAGGTACTGGTGATGACATTTAGAGCTCTAATCAACTTGGGATCCTGATACCCAAAGGAGCACCCATCCAGAAGAGACCTCCTCTGTGTCCCATCAGTGTGGGCAACATGTTGTGGGAGGACATGGGAAAGTGCCTTCTTAATTGTGACAGCTTCACTGTGGATATCCTCCTCTTGGAATTCTGACTGGAGCAAACATTGGTTTCTTTCTGGCACCAAGCCAAAACATTGCTTTTTGTTGAAGGCTTTGGGACTAATTTATTTTACATGAACATGTGTGTTGTCTTGCGTGAGTTCTGACTTATAGTGTCCCTAGGGTGATCCTATAACAGTGTGTTCTTGGAAAGATTTGTTCAGAGGGAGTTTGCTATTGCTTTGTTCTGAAGCTAAGAGAGTATGGTTTGCCCAAGATGGGCAGGTGGGTTTCCATAGCCAAGTAGGGATTCAAACACTAATCTCCCAGATGTTTAGTCAAACACTCAATCTACTACATGATGGTGGCTTGTATTAATACATGTATGTCTACTTGGTTTTCAGTTATTATCACCTTTAAATTGCTTTTTACTTATCATTTCAAAGATAAAATCAAATGTTTCAATTTCGAATAAAAGTCTTGTTTATATGTACTGAACTGTCCTTCAGTTATCCAGTCAGTTGTTAAAACCTTCAATATTTAATATTCTCATTTTTTTAAAATAGAATCCAGTCAAATGACAAATTGAGTGCACTGGCATTCTAGTTCTGGAACACTTCTCCCCCCTGATTCTTTATGTTGTGTCATCATTAACCAATTAACTCAATCTTTTTTCCTTCCAAATAAATGCTCTCAAGGCTCTATGCCATTCTTTGAATACTTTTGTACTGTGTATAATTGGGATACACTGAAATAACTACCATCTTGATTGCTTCAACTCTCCCCATCATTGTCAAGTTCAGCTTATTCCAATTTATTAAATCACTCTTGATTTCTTTCCATTTTGTTTTATAATTACTATCAAACAAGTCCGTATTCCTCTTGGTTAACCAAATTCCTAAATATTTAACTGTATTTTTTCATTGGACACTTAGTAATCTCCTCTAAATAGATCTCTTCTCTTCTCTTCTCTCTCTCTCTCTCTCTCTCTTATTTTTTGCCATATTCTTTTTTTGTCAGAATAGGAGAATTTCAGCACAGAATAAGGAAAGAGATAGTACAGGAATACCTGGTTAATCTAAATGAAGATAAGTCTCCAGGACCAGATGAATTACATCCAAGGGTATTAAAAGAACTGGCAAACGTAATATCAGAACCATTGGCAATAATCTTTGAGAAATCCTGGAAAACAGGAGAAGTCCCAGCAGACTGGAGGAGCGCAAATGTTCTCCCCATCTACAAAAAGGGGAAAAAAGAGGATCCCAACAATTATCATCCAGTTAGTCTGCCATCAATACCAGGAAAGATTCTGGAGCAGATCATTAAACAGAGCATCTGTGAACATCTGGAAGGTAATTTCATAATCACAAAAAGTCAAATGAGTTTCAGAGAAACAGGTCATGCCAGACAAATCTGATCTCTTTTTTTGATAAAATTACCAGCTTGGTAGATGAAGGGAATGCTGTGGATATAGTATATCTTGATTTGACAAGGTTCCCCATGACATTCTTGCAAACAAGCTGGTAA